GCGCGAGGGGGGACGTGGCCAGCGACAGCTACAACAACGTCTTGCGCGACACCGAGGGGCTGCGCGAGCTCGGGGTCACCCACTACCGCTTCTCCATCTCGTGGGCGCGGGTGCTCGCCAATGGCAGCGCGGGCGCCCAACCGCGAAGCCCCGCTCCCCCGGAGGACCCCCCGGGGGCCGGCCTGCCGTCGGGTTTTCCGCCGCAGTCCCCGCCCGCGACTGGGGACGTGGCCAGCGACAGCTACAACAACGTCTTGCGCGACACCGAGGGGCTGCGCGAGCTCGGGGTCACCCACTACCGCTTCTCCATCTCGTGGGCGCGGGTGCTCCCCAATGGCAGCGCGGGCGCCCCCAACCGCGAAGGGCTGCGCTACTACGGACACCTGCTGCAGCGGCTGCGCGAGCTGGGTGTGGAGCCCGTGGTCACCCTGTACCACTGGGACCTGCCCCAGCGCCTGCAGGACGCCTACGGCGGCTGGGCCAACCGCGCCTTGGCCGACCATTTCAGGGACTACGCCGAGCTCTGCTTCCGCCACTTCGGCGGCCAGGTCAAGTACTGGATCACCATCGACAACCCCTACGTGGTGGCCTGGCACGGCTACGCCACCGGGCGCCTGGCCCCCGGCGTCCGGGGCAGCGCGCGGCTCGGGTACCTGGTGGCGCACAATCTCCTCCTGGTGAGTTCGCGGGGCCAGGCGGAGGGCCACGCCGGGGACCGGGCCCCTGGAGACGCCACGGGCAAGAGGGGTGCCTGAGCCTCCAGCTCAGACGAGGCTCCATTTGAAGCCATTTGTGAGGTCCCCAGGATTCGCACAGGGGGTCGTGGCGGGTACGGAGCAGCATCGGCTTCACTCGGAGGGCGTGGAGTTGGGAACGGGAGCGAACTGAACTCCCGCAGTGGGCGGGCGAGTGAGTGCCCCTTGGAGCCCGTTTGTCAGAAGGAGATTGGAATCAGTTCTCCGGTGAGAAAGGGGGCTCCTTTCTCGGGGTGCAGAGGAAACCCCGGAGGTAAGGCTGAGGGAGTCACTAGCAGCTACGGGAGAATGAGGAGGGTGGATGAAAGAAACAAGTTTGTTTTTTTTTACACTCCTGTCTGCCAGAGTTAGTGGAGATGGCAGGAGTTCGATGTTAATCCAATAAGATCTGTCTCGCTGTGGCTCAAGTTCACACTGCAGCAAATGCAAAGGTGTCGAAATCTCATCTACTGGAGAGCGGGTTGAAACTGTCTTTGGTAGTTCTTTCTGTGCAACCTACTTAATTGTCAGAGGTCTGAAGACCCCTAAAATAATCTCGAACAAAGCTCACCTTAAAAATCCATGAACAGCTACAGCGTGAGATAGATTGTGTTAATAAGTATATTTCTACGATACTCTCTCCACTTGGAAGGATTCCTCAGGGAAGACATTCTTAGCCTGACCCTTGTAAAAAAAAAAAAAAAAAAAGCTGAACACATTTTGACAGCAGGAAGTGTTGCTAGGCCATGATGAAGGTGTCTCCCAAATAATTCTTCCTTTTTTCCTTGACTTAGTGTTCGAGATTAGGTCCCATTGACTGGAGAGCTCATTTATAGTGATGGCAGTTGTTGGTACACTTTATACAGTGTTGTATCACAGAATATTTTATGTACATGTGTAAACATTTTAATAAAAGTGTTTAAATGTATAACTTTTGATACTGTATTCTGGTGACTTGTGGGCCCACTGGAAGACCTGTTTTTAAATTTAGAATTAAGCCACGTATTTTGAACAAATTTAAGACAGAGACCACTTCTGCATACTTTTTAATCGAAGCCATAGATAATCAAGGCGGAACAGTATTGGATTATTGAGTTGACTTAGCGCTCTGAGCTGCTAGTGATCTGATAATCGCTAGGTAGATTGTATGTCAGCTCCACAAAACCTGTTTGCTACCACAGATCATAAAAGAATGTTGGGTTGGTTTGAAAAAAAAATTTTAGTGACTTCATATTGATATATATCTTATCCTTAAGCTACTTTAGAGCAACGGTAATAAACTTTTTCAGTCTGACAGTTGTTTTAAGGAATCGAAAGACCCTAAGCACTACCTATTTATGGTTGGTAGAAAAAAAAAAAAAAACTGTATGAAGAACTGGGCCCTCTTTGGAAGAAAACATGAACAAATTTCAGTCCAGACCAGAAAACTAAAAAATAAAAATTCACAGACCAGCTGAAAGACCTAATAGACCACTTCCGAAAAATCGCTACTTCAGATTTTGCATGTAATACTCCATGCATACAAAAGTCATCAGTTGCTACTTTAGCAACTTACATGGTCTTTTCATTTCTAAGATAAGAAATTGGGACAGCAGGAGTGTTCTAGTGCTCCACTACTTTAAAGAGTCAACATGCTTTGATTCTTGGGCCCACTCAGCCCTCTGATTAACTTTTTGGTTACATTTTTGTATCCTTACACACACACACACACAAATTTGCCAAACACTAACCATTCTGCCCCGAAATGCAGTGGACTTTGTATTCATAAGCAATTATTGACAGGCGGACCCTTGGTTTTGCTGAGCCTGCAAAGTGCTACTTGCTGTAAAATATTAATTTTGCTTTCAGATGTCTTCGGTTTGGAATTTAGTCATTTTTGTATCTTACGAAGTAAGTTGTCATTATCAAAGACAGTGTCTTAATTTTTTCATGAGATATTTTCATTCTGTTTTCAATATTCTTGGTGTATGCGTTGGGGCGAGGGGAATAGGGAAGCTTTGATCTTATTGGAAAAGACAAGACATTCTGCAGGTTTTGTTAATAAAACATTTCAGCCAGGGCTTAGATATTGCTGTTAGGGACCACTGAGACCCTCTTGCATATTCATTTGCATGTGGGGATCTGATGCTGGTGAAGGATAAAGCTGGCCAGCACCCCTCCCCTGCCAGGAAGGAGACCGCCTGGGGACACTGAAAGTTTGAACCACCCCAGAGGTTTAAGAAGCATTTTCTGATGGCCTGGAGGACAAGAGGCATGCCAGGCAAACTGCAGGATGAATAATGGGGGCTCAGAATGGGGGTCTCCGTGTTCTTTTGTGGGTTGCCAATACTGGGATAATCCTTGACAAAAGTAGCGTGTGTGTGATTGTGTGTGTGTGTGTGTGTGCACGCACGCACACATACGCACACTCCAGAGAGAGAGGGATAAAGAGGCTTTTCCTGCAGAGAGCCCTGGGGGGCCGGGCTGCTTTGCTCACCCGAGTATAACCTAGAAGGAGAACGTACCTTCTCTCTCTGACTAAGAGAGGGACTGCTGTGCCTTCACAGCTCTTGAAAGATGATTCTTAATGTCCCTTGAAAAACTGGCATTGGGGCTGGTCGTTGGGAGTCCAGCCCCAGTAGTGCCTCTGAGTGTTTGTTCTGCCCACGGGTTTCCGAGAGGACCAGGACTGAGTTGAAGATGCCGCGGACCTCCCAAGGAGTCTCAACAGTGGTTCTGTGGGGAACCTGGGGGCAAAGAGAACTTCTTCCACTTAGGGAGGCAGGGCCAGGAGACACCCTTTGGGCGCTGGCGTATAGCACAGACATGACTGGTGCTGGGCGGGCCACGTGGTAACATCCTCGCTCACGTCCAGCTGCTCTCCCCTGTCTTAACGCACCTCCTCGACTTAGCTTCCAGGACCCCGCTCTTTCTCGCTCCTCCACTCAGCTCACTGGCGAGTCCTTCTCAGCCCCTTTGCTTATTCCTCCTCACCTTGCCTCTAAATATTGGTGCCCGTGGCTTCATCCTGGGGCCTCTTCTGTAGATTCACTCCAAGTGACGACCTCTTTGAATAGTCTCTATATCCCGATGACTCCAAATTTTGAGTCTCCAACCAGAGAGACGACTGCCCTGTCCACGTAGATGTCCGGTGGGCATGTCGCATTTAACACACCCAAAAGCAAACTCCTGTTTTTCCCATCTCTCTTATGGCAACTTTGCTCTTGCAGTGGGTTGAGCCCAAACCTTAATTCTCCCCTTTCCTTCACATCTTAGTTTCACTGCATCAACAAATCCTACAGCTCCACCTACCTTCAAAATGTATCCAGAATCCAACCACTTCTCCCCCTATCTACAGCTACAGGTCCAAGCTCCCAACAGATTCTGCCTGGATGATTGGAAGAGCTTCCTAGCTGACATCCTTGCCTCTCCCCTCGCTCCCTGCAATGTGCCATGATGAATAGTCTGGCGATGTATGAACATGATAAAGTCCGTTGTCCATTAAAATCCCACCTTTTCTTCAACAACCAGCTAATTTGCTCCCTTTAGCCCCACACCTGCGATCCATCTTTTCCTTCTATGGAACCCCGCAATGCTTCATTCTGATGACCTTTACCACACTCTTCCTTTACGTAACTACTTGCCATCTTGCAACCACTTCGCTTGCCAGGCGATTGCTTAAGTGAGGAAGCCATGTTTACTTCATCTATCCCACATGCCATCTTGTCCTTGGTAGGTGCTCATTAAATGGCTTCTGGCTATTTAATAGCCTGACTCTGCCTTTATAAATGGATGCTCCTAGGATTTGCTCTCCATGCCAATCTTTCTAGCCACTTTCTGATGGGACAGAAAATAACCAAATCCTAACTAGATAGGAAGATCAGTAAACATGATGGGACAGAATCTGACATTTTGGGTAAAAAATGTAAGGTTCATCATCAAATTTATGACTCCACTGTAAAAATTTCCAAATTATTAAAAACTATATGTTTCCCATGCAACACTGAAGTAGTTTTCAGATGAAGGTAGGGGACGATCCTGCTGGCTTTAGGAGCAGGTGTTAGAAATGACTTTGTTCATGGGTTGAATTTTCATGCCCAAAGTGATAGTGCAGGCAATTTATTTACTAGATGCATGCTCAAATTATATATGCTATGTGTACCAGCTTTCACTAAAATGTATTTGGTACGTGGATGGAATAATAAACTGGGCTGCAAGTTAATGTATTTTATAGAATACTACTGAATTCAATTGTGTGTTTAATCAGAAATAGTCAAAATATCTCCCAAAAAGCCTGACTCACTCCTCTTTGAATATCTGTTTGAACACAATGTTTTTTTTTTTTGAAGGTTACAGTCAAGTCCAAGAAAAAGAATAGAAAAAGAACTAATAAAATTATTTTAAAATCATAACAATGTTTAACAATGCCGTTTATTTTGAGTTGAAGAAAAGAGGGGACAGACGGACCACTAAGCATTCAAATAATGTCAGTGTGCACTTTTTAAGTACAAAATGAGTGAAGGCACAACGGTGTCACCTGGCTATGTAGTCAGTCATGGCTTTTGCACATAGATGTCTTCTGAGTCATCTTAAATTTTCAAACAATGTGATTGCTCTAAGCCAGAATTTTATTATGATCAATTTGTACAAAAGGTGCCTTTCTTTCAGTAAATGTTATTTTTTAAGACACAAAGGAGATTTTAGCTGTAGGAGGACAATAGAATGCAATCTATTGGGAGGACAAGTAATAAAGAGCGAGTGAATAAAAATACACACTCTCACTGAATTCTGCAAGATCAAATCTCAGGACACTCCAGAGTTACACTTGCAGTCTATACTGAAATGGATAAGCATAACCTACCTTTTGTATACTCTGTCTTGATATGTTGTGGGTCGAGAGTTAATCAGAAGGATTACTAGACCTCTTCTCCCCTCTGTCTTGGGGTAAACTCTTATTTATCCTC